CCCCGAACGAAAGTACAGGGTTTACTTTCGTTTCCCGTCACAGCACCTCGGGCCTCAGAAAACAGCTTGGAGGGCTGCATGGCGGCCCGCGGGCCGTATGTTGGACAAGCCTGATCTAGTCCAGCCCCCTGCACATGCAGGATTTGCTATTCCAGGCAGATGCCTGTCCAGCCTCTTCCTGAAAACCTCCAGCGAAGGGGATCCCAGACGAGGAAGGGCTACCCCTACAGCATGTGAGAGTGCCCAAAGGCCTCCCCCATTCCAGACCAGGCCCTTCTTTGCATCCAGGATCAGATGCATTCAGTCTGGCCTGGCCTGGCCCTAGGATTCTGGGACTTCTGCTACTTGATTAGAATTGTTTTCATGCAAGCGCAAAGGCTGAAATGAAACCGTGATAGAAACATCTACACAGTAAGAGTCCAATGCAAAAAAGAAAAAAAATTCAATGGAGACCAGAATGAATCTGAGGTGAGAAACTAGTGGCCCAGTATACAGTACTCAGGAGCATCGGCCGATTGCTCATAAACACCAGGGATCTGATCAGCTGCAACTAGTAAAGTGCCTCAATTTGAATAGCAGCCACATCCTGACTTCCCCCACCCTTGGGAAGGGTTCGAGTCTGGCCCTGTCAGAGGGTCTAGGGACACTGCGCAGCCTTGATACAGACCGCATCAGACCAGGAATCTTGGCCATTCTCTTCATTGTTCCATTTCCCCAAATGAAGTCTTGGGCTGAACAAAGCAGACATGGCTGAGGATAAAATGCCTGATCTAACAGTTTATGTTCCAATAGTGTAAATGTAAGGGTCTTTGGTTTTATAAAGAAAGCAAGCCCCTAGTCAGAGATGGGGTAGAGGAGACTTCTAACTAAGTTTTCTTACCACACCCTCACGTCCGAGGTCAAGTGGAAAGAATGGCCGTCTACGGGAGAGGAAGGGTAAGCAGGCCTTACGAATGGTGCCCCCGGTTGAAGAGCATCTTACCTACACAAAGCCATCTCATCTCTGGGGCAGACCAGCAGTGCAGGATGCCCTTTTCCAGCAATTCTCAAAACGAAGCAGTGAAGTAGTACCCATACTGGCATCCAAGGATGCCACATATCTCATTTCTATGGCTAGAGGAAAAATGCTCCCTTAACCGATTCCACCAAGACAGAAAGAGCAAAGCCTAGGCTTGGCATCGACAGAACACACAAAAGCTCCAAGTAATGCCACACATCCATTCGCTCACCACAGCCTGCCACTACCCATCTGTACAGGACCTCTCTCGTGAGGAGTCTCCGGAACAGAAGTGCTGCCGTAAGAGATTGTAGGGAAGAGTGGCAGGGAGCATCTGCTGGCAGGGGAGGGGATGTTCTTATATATTTCCCCAATAATTAAAGTGTCAACTGTATAAAATGTAAACCACCCATTTCTGAAGCCTGGCTGGGCAAAACATCCTTAAGTAAAGTAATCCAGATCTGGGAAACAGAAGGAAATGGGAGGGCACTTGTTAGTGAAAGCATCTGTCTGTATCACACCTCCTGTAGTTTTACAACACGGCCTGACCGTGTTAATAACATTTCTGCAGGGAAATTTAATCAACTTTTCTACCTTAAAAAAAAAAAAAGGAACAGAAAAAAAGCCCACCATAAACACAAAATAAAAAGTTTAAACTCACATAGTGTGAAGAACACACAACTTCATTAAACTAGCTCGAAGTGAAACTCACTGACCTTAAAAATATGGTGCCTTTGTAAGTGATGAAGGTTATTGCAACAATGTGACCCTTCTGTATGGCTGAAAGTGGCTCTAGGCAAATGGATATCCGGTATTTCTTTGGTGTATGATATGAATATATTAATAGAAAAGAGACTGGGTGCTTTGGACAGCATAGCGTGAAACTTTTGGACAACCTACTAGTGGGAAAAAAAGTATGAAATGTATCTGTTTCCTACAGGAGAACTGGGTAAATCTGCAACCAAAAGTTAAAATAAAAAGCAAGCGGTTTTGTAAATTACCATCCATGCTGGTTCTCCGTATTAAAAATATGGCAACAAAGATTAGAAACCACATTGAAATGCATAATTTTCGTGTCCTGAATTAGCAAAAAAACCCCCTAAAACAAAACACCCCCCCAACCTATTCTGGGAGCCTGCATTTTTGTTGTCAGCATTGTGTTAACGACCCAGGTTTCGCACGCACAAACACAACCCGGTAGCCAGTTAATCAGACGTTCATCATGTGTGGGCGTATTTGCACAACCGGAATATTTAGCAGCTCTCTCTTCCCCCCCATGCTTGGCCCTGCTCCAAGGATTGCAAATCCACTTCTTTAGGAAGTAAAAAACCAGAATCTGCTGCAGGGCTCTTCTCCATGACTCCGCAATGCAGACAGGCCCAAGGCACCAAGTGCCTTTGGAGAACAAGTCAGAAGGGCGTATGCGGTAAATTTACAAAATGTTACCGTCACAGTCATCTTGGGTAAATAAAAAGGTTCTTCTGGTTTACAAAATTAAAGTTTGACCTTTTGTTTGTTCCAGGCACTACTTAACTGAATAGGTAAAGGTTTCCTACAGCGTCGGCTGGGGGAGGGATTCCTTCCACTAGTCTGGCGAACTCGTCCTGCGTGCTCATTAACGGTGCCCAGTGTACGCCTTAAACCACGAGGTCACAGAGGCCGCAGCAGAAGAGATCATGCCACCAGCACTGCTGCTGGCGATGGGCTGGGACACCTGCGTGCTCTGACTCTGAAACATCTCAACCGGCTGTGAGGGGATATCACAGAACCGTGGGCTTGGCAGATTTTCCCAGTCGGTCCCAAGATCTGTCTCTTCGTCGCTGACATGCTCATCTCCACTCTCGTCCGTCTCACCAGCAGCACTGGGGTCCACAAACTCCATGGAGTCTTCAAGATCAGCACTGACCTCGAAAGGCCCAGATCTGCAAACACAGATACAGTCCTGTTAGCCCCTCTTGGTGTGGAACGACAGAGGAAGCGTTGTTTGGTCAGACTGGGAACCAAGTCACAGCCAGGTCCAGCCGAGCCTGGTAAAAGGATACATTAGCTGTACGTGCAATACGCCCCTTTGATTACCAGCCGGCTGAGAACAATGGTCAGTGGCTACAAAAAAAATCCACTCTGGAAACTAAGTCAGGGCGGTCGGACTGGAATGGACTATTTCAGTTTTGATCTGCATAGCAGGAGGAATTTCTAACAATGCTCTGCTTTTGGCAGTAGATGTTGAAGTGTTAAAAACAAGCTGTCTGAACAATCACTCGCTGACGGCTCACAATCTGCTGCGAGAGCAGCTGGTTTTATGTTTAAAGCTGGCTTAAGCCAGGTCTACACTCCAGATTTCCAGGCACAGCAGTGCTGGCAGAAGCCCCTAGTAGCGACAGGGGGTTATGGAAAGGGTATGAATCCCTATCACAATCCCAGGTGGACCTCGTGAGCCCATGCTTGTTAAGCAAACTGCATTTGCTTAGAAAGTTTGTCACAACTGTACTGTTCTCCTCTTCTGCCCCTGAAATTCACCCCCCTCTCACACTACAAAAACTCAGTCCCCACAGAACATCCAGCAGTATTGGAAACCTGAGCTGGTGGTTCTTAATTTTTGAATCATGGCAACCTGCACGTTTTGTTAACGTAGCTTGTAAATGCAGTTTCCTGGAGAGATTTCTGGGAGCCAACTGAAAAGATAAACAAGTTCCGTTATGTGAAACCATGCTGCCTACTACACAGTTCATCAGCAGAATTAAACCTTTAGATGTGTTATACTGACCTCTGCCCCTTGAGCACGGGGCAACTGAGAGCAGTGGTAGGCTCCCCTTTGTGGCAGGTAGGATGAGCCAAGCTCTATTCCAGATTGTGAAGGAAGCCTCTCTGGTTGTTAGATGCTTCTGACCCTGACTCCACTAAGCCAGGCCCCTTCTGCTCCTGGCCCTTTTAGCCTTTCACTATCCCACTCTGAGGCTCCAGGCCTCCTCGTCTCTTCCTCCCATCCTAGGGCATCCCACTCCCTACCCCCTTGGCTCCAGTCTACTCTCCATTTCTTTCCCTTGCATCTACTACTGCACTCCCACATGCCACTTCACCAGCACCCCTAGCCTCAGTCCTCATTATCCTATATTCCAACCTACAAGAGTAGCACCAAGAAGCACAGGGTTCCCTGCTCCCAGGTTCTGGCCCATTGTCACAGCCACCCTGCCCCGACCCCTGGAAAGAGCAGTTTCAGGCAACATCCAGCTCAGTCCCTATGGGTCTGTGCTGGACCAAAGGACTCGGAGACTCTGGCTTTCGTGGCTGCATTCAGACAAGTCTACTGAACTGCTGCCATTTTGGTTGGTCTGACACCACTTTGCAGTCACTGGTCCTTCTTATGCCTTTCCAAGCTAAGATCCAAAACCTGAACACAGCTGGGGCACCCAGGATGTACACCAGAGCCTTCACAGAGGGAAAAATCCTCCCTCCATCATGTGGCATAAACAGCAGAGCCAATGGTCACAAACTACTTCAAGATCGTTTCAGGCCGGACATAAGGAAGAATTTCTTTACTGTCCGAGCCCCCAAGGTCTGGAACAGCCTGCCATCGGAGGTGGTTCAAGTGCCTTCGTTGAACACCTTCAAGATGAAACTGGATGCTTATCTTGCTGGGATCCTATGACCCCAGCTGACTTCCTGCCCTTTGGGCGGGGGGCTGGACTCGATGATCTTCCGAGGTCCCTTCCAGCCCTGATGTCTATGAAATCTATGAATGGGGAGGGTGGACCAGACAACCTCTCTACTTCAGCCCGCAGTGAGAACAGAGCTCCACGCTGTAAGAGAGGTCCTAAAGGCAATACCCTTCACCTTCTTCCAGTGGACCCCTTATAACCACTCCAGTTTGTTGCATCAGGACCTGACCCAACAGGTGCAGGGAAAGGACAGGGAGGATTTGCCCTTTACTATTACTATAGCAACAATAAACCAGATTTTCTAAAATCTAAAAGAAACATTCCATCGCGAGGCAAGACACTTCCTTCTCTTACCTGCCCAGGTTTTCAGTGTCTGGACTGACCAAGTACATGAGGTTCCTGAGTGTGTGTAATGGATGCAACAGATCTAAATTTACATGCTAGAAAGGGAGGGAGAAAAGAAAAATAATAATCAGCTAGGTCTAAGAGGAGACTTGTAAGCACAGTGATTTTAAAATGTGTTTAAAGAATCGAGAGAGATATTTGCCATACCTGAGAAAAACAAAGGTAAAGGATATTAGCATTCAGCTTCTTCACTGCCCCGGTAAACTTCCGCCTGCTCAGGTTCTCTCCACAGAATTCACTGTTTAAAAAGAGCCACATGTTCAAATTAAACAGCTATTAAAATTACTGACTCAAGACATCTGCATCTGTTCCACAACACTCTGTGCTGGCTTATCAAACTACACTGGGAGCAAACAGACCTATATAAACCATACAACCATGACTCGGAGCATTTGGGATACCGCACAGCCTCACCTTCTAAGAGCATGGCATTTCAGTGCACAATAGTTTTTCTGGCCAACTCTGCTTACTTAGTTTGTGAGCAGTCTTTGTTTTCCACAGGGATGAGTAAAGTGAACAGAATTTGGTCCCATAAAGCTCCATTATGGCCAGAAAGGTATCTTAGCAGCCTAAACCTCTTGTTCTCCATACGCAGAAGCCACTGTAGCCACCGATCGGACTCTGAGGGTTGACTGAGCCCTCACCTCCTTGGACAGATAAACTGAGTTTTGTGCAGTTTGCTGTATACAGACCCTATCTGCTCTGCATATGCACTGAATGTCTAATGGGGTTTACATTGGTATCCCCCTCCCAACTACAGGGCAGCAAGCTGTATTTGCCACTGGACCTGCACTCTGCCCCAGAGAAAGTGGTGGGCATACAATACAGCCCAGACCTGCAGCTCTCTCACAATGACTACTATTTAGGCACAAGAGTAGCCTTAACAGTACTATTCAATATGTCTAAGAACTGCTGAATTAGGCCTCAATTTTGTGAAACTGAGAGGTCCTTTAGGATTCAAAGCAAATGCCCTTTTTCATTCCTAATTCACAATCACTGAATATCTCTGCTACAGAAGAGCTGCAATTCTGAGTTATGCCAATGACTCCCACCCATGATCCTTACAGCTCTGGCAGAGAAAATCAAATGGCACAAAAATGCCTCAAACCATTACAAAATCCAGAGCGAGACAGCAGCTGAATGAATTGCTTAAAGGACAAAACTGAATTCAAGTCAGCTCTAAATCAGCCCATGGTTCAGCTTCTTAAAGATTCAAAATGACTTGCCTGTTACACAATTTCTTAGGAAGGTTTACATCAAGTATAAGAGACAAGGTGTTAACCAGCTGAGTTGCATAGCACAATGCAGCACTGATGGTGTAGGCAGGGTTATTATGCTCCATATCTAAAAGAAAGATAGCACCAAAATCTGGTTTTAATTGTATGCAAGTAGGCCCAGTATTGAAATCTCTAAACAGTGTCATGTGCCAGTATCCAGAACTGCTGAAACCAGTAAGCAGTCTCAGATTTAGATCAAATCTCAGGAAAAACTTCCTTGCTGTAAGAAGAGCAGGACAATGGAAGTTGTGGAATCTCCTTCACAGGAGGTTTTCAAGAAAAGGCTGGATAAGCATCCACCTGGAATGGTTTAGGAATAGTAAATGCTGCATCGAAGCAGCAGGGTGGACTAACTGATTCTTGAGGTCCCTTCCAGCCCTATATGGCTCCATATATCTGGCACAAGTTAGAAGGAAACAGTAATACTGGGAGTAACTATTACATTTACTCTGCAGCGCGTTAATTGTGTCAGGGCTACGAATAATTCGCACTGTTTCTTTGCTAGAGTTTTGCACTATAAATCTGATTAGTGTCTCCCCACCAAGAGAGTGTGCCAGAAGCTTGACCTCTTTATGACTGATTTATGATTGTGTTGTAAAAAGGCTCACTTGCAGCTAGGCTATTTTTTGCGAGCAAAGCAGATGGGCAGGCCACAGGCTCAAAGTGCCTTCTGCTGGCTACGCAGCACTAAAAAGATCTACAGAAGCTGGATCACTCAGGAAGCCAATACTATGCTTCTTACCTGGTCCTGGCGTGGTTTTCTTCTCTTCCACCCAATTGTAATATGCTGAATAGTCTCCATTATTGGGAAGGGTTATCCAAGGACCAGTGATGCTGATGCTGGTGTCTCCGTTTTGATCGTCACACACCCACCTTCCAGACAGATAAGTTGTTCTTCTGGCTTCTGCAAGCTTGCTCACAGTGCTAGAGGTCATTGCATTATCACTCTCAGAAGAAACATCTGCAGGATCTCTGTAGCACCCAGAAAGACACCACGCTGTAACAAAAGGCTTTAGAGGTCTTAAAAAATACAGGCAATGTGCATGGCAGGCAAAATACCTGAAATGGTAAACTACAAGAGTCTCTGCTACCAGGGTCAGAGTTTCTTTACATCTTTTGGTCAAAAATCTCAGAGGTTGTATTGTTTTTGTTTTTTATTTCCAAGATGCTTTACCTCATACTTACAAAATTTAGATGCTTTTGGATATTTCCAGCCTGGGTTTAAGGTAATAAAGGAATGTATATTTGCCAACACAGTACATATATCAAAACCCTCCTAAGATGAGGAGGGTAACTACCTGGCCAATTCTGCAAAGTCTGTGCTGGGAAGGGGGGGTCCCCCCAGTGGATACAATTTCCAATCCAGTAGGTTACTTCAGCACCTGCTGGCCCAATTACAAAAGTCAGGAAGGTCAAGAAAAATCCAAGCCTGCCTGAGTCAATGGCCCACCAGACTAGTACAGTTAAAATGGGCCAGTTTCTGTAGCCCACAGCACACAAAGGAGCAACTGCCTAGTATCATGTCCAGCCACCTGTGACTGCCCAATCCAAATGACCAAGTGACCATTTACAGCTAGGTCAACCAGGACAGCCATCAGAGGAAGGCTGAATGAGGTTTGAAATCAGACTTCTAGGTTTGTAGCAAGATGTCTTAACCATTGTGCTACTATATTCCCATTTATTTCAGCATACCCACCAACTTCAATGAGACTATTCTTAGGCTTAAAGATGGGCATATGCTTAAGTATCCCCCTGAGCTGGGAGTTATATGAGGAGATGTAGGCTGTCAGACACTGAAAACAAAGGTGGGGCCTAGATGGATGTGCACTGAAGTGAACCATAAGCTTTTCTGAAAAAGAAAGAAATTAACCAGCCAATATAAAATTGTGTTTTAATTAAGAGTAGAACCCACTTACTCTTTATACTCCCAACTTGCCAATCACATTTGATTAGGACCAAAGAACACAGACCTAAAGTCCAGGTACAAATCTAGAGACCAGGCAATGGATATCAACTTGCATTAACTGTGCTGTTCTAGAAGATCTGCCTTCCATACCTCATACCCGTCTTCACTTCTTCAATGGGAAAAATGACGGAGGTCAGCTCCAGTATGTGAGACCGTCGAAGATCTGCCAAGTGCTCATGCTGGGTTTTCAGATCACAATTCTTTTTTTCCACCAAGTCTCCCAGCCTGCGGTTATGCCTCTGAATCTTCTCTTTCTTCTCCTGGTGCCTCTGAGCCCTGCGATTAAGCTTCTGGTTTTCATCTTTAACTCTGAGAAGCCCCTCTGTGTCTGTGAGAGCAAGTGACATTAGCTGTAGGAAACAAGCTGTGATCTACGGATAGGTCATGGAATTATTACTGTTCAGGGCAAACAAGGCATATAGCAGCCTAAGAAAAAAATGTTTCATTGCCATTCACCACTCACTATACTAGGGTACAACACTTCAGTCTCTTTTGAATTGTACCCCGGGCAACCATCTCTCACTCTTCCCCCCATCCCCACCTTCCCTATGTTCTCAGGCAATGTCATGGAGTGCAAAGCATTCTGGGAACAGAAGTCCTCTGGACTAGCAATGGAGTTTGCTGCTGAGGGGGGGGGAACTTTCACCCCATTTTTTTTGCCACTGAAGCCAAGTCCAGAGGGTAAAAAAATGCTGAATCCAATGACAATGCTGAATCCAAGGACTGCTGCTGGTCTACAAAACTACAATTCCCAGAATGCCTTGCACTCTGGGAATCCCAGCCCTGGATTGCACCTGGATTGCTGCTTCCTGGAGCTAGGACGTGCCAGCAGAGTGAGGCAAGGCAGCAGCAAGGTAGGCTCCAGACTAACCCAGGGGTGAGGCATTCCTTCTCCTCTCCCTGCTCCCCTTCCTTCCCACACCCATCCCCTTGGGCGACACTGGAGGCACACCTGCTCACCCACACTGTGTTACGCTCCTAGAAGTTGGCATTGATCTTGTCTTCTGCCCACCTGGACACCAAGCGGGAATGTCAAGATTCCCTAGTTTAATTAAAGTAGCCGGTATAAACATCACAACAAGAAATGCACGTTACCGCGGTGTTGGCTAAGAGGGCTCCCATTGCTGTACGCAGAACTAGTCCGGAGCACATCGTTGTTTACAATGTGCCAACCACTTGGTGCCCACCTGCTTGGCTTGCCGTAGATTGTCTGCGCATGTGGAGCACGGGGACCCCAGCAAAGCAGGCCATTCCCTACGGCAGCATCAACCACCACCACCATATGCAACTGCACAAACTGTAACATGCAGCTGTACTGAACTGCTGCAGCTGCCTGTGTTAAGCTTGGGTACCAGATACATTTGCATCCCCAAATCTCTCCTTACAAGCATCTTCTAATCTGTTGTGCAAAATCATCCACTGAAGAAAAGAGCCGTCACAAGCACGTCAGTGGAGACTTCTGAAGATTCTCTCTCTTTGAAAAGTGCAAGAAGATGCTGTACTCAGTTAAATGTCTCAAAAATTCCTTTTCCTAACTTAGTTTGAACAAGAACGTCCAGTTGCCAGGCACTCAGTCACACTTCTTACAGTCTTTATCAGAAATAATATTGATCAGGTTTCTAATATCGATCAGATTATTCACTTTCCAGCAATTTAAACAAGTACAGAGACATTCCCTAGTCTCCTGGGGAATGCTGTCTCAGTGCAGGGCAGCAATTCAGGGCCAAGTCCTAACATCGTTATTAATCTGTTAGATGACTCTAGAGTGACAGATGTCATATGGTGTTTATTACGGTAAGGAGTTGCTTCATTATTTAAAATAAACTCTACATCTGTGTGTTAAACGTACCAACAAAATAGCTAAACAGCTTATTAAAATGGTCAAGCTAAGGGAAATGAGATCATAAACATGCACAGCGTATAACTTGCTGGAATAATGGAATTAATCCTTACTTGCATATCCAATTTATTGGGCCTATAATGCAGGAAAAATGAAGAGTTGGCTGCCTGAGCTCTGACAAGTGAAAATGATGCAACATTTTTCCCAGGTTACTTTAGAGTCCCAACAAGTCCAGGTGAAAAAATAATGCATTTTCTTCAGCTTTAGAAAATAACTGATGTAGAAGCTAGAAGTTGAAAAAACTGACAATATTTAAATATTGCTGATTTCTTCTAGACATTGTCATGTCAGCAGCACAATTTAATAATTTGGACGAGCTCCCCCAAGTCCCCTTTTAAATAAATAAATTATAGTAATAATAAACGGGTAAAAACTGGTTTCCAAGTTTACACACACGCTGCATTTTGAACGCAACTTTCTTCCAATGGTTCCAAGCTATCTTTCATCACTTTGAAACCAACAGCAACACAGGAGGAGATGTTCCAAATATAGTTTTTCTCTAGCAATTCAATCTGCTTGTAACAAAACCCCCTGACATGAGTCCAGGTGGGAAATCTTACCCCTTCCAGAGCCACGCTTACAAAAACATTAAAAACGGTCTCAAGAAGTAGTAGCACAACTAGGGAAGGGGGAGCCAGGCATGGGTGCTGGCTGTAAGGGGGCACCAGGATCCCCCCTGCCAGGAGTCTTTGCTGCAGTACTGGAAGCCCTGTACTGCCCAGCCACAGGAGCTGGGTAGCACAGCACCATACCAAGCAGTGTGTATGGGGCAAGAGTGAGAGGGGTAGGCAGAATGGAGCCTTTGCCAGAACAGGCACAGCCCTACTCCCAGTACGTACATATGGACGCTCATGCAGAGCAGACTGAAACAACCTAGAGTGTTTGTGAATTTCCTAGGAACGCAGGGTGGGAAGGAATCTCAAGACATTATCTATTTCACCTCCAGGCAGGATCAAGTATACGTGACTGTTCCCAAAATACATTTATCTAACCTTATTTATTTAAAAAACCACAAGGAAGAGGCTGCCACTAACATCCCTGGACATCTGTTCCAATGTTTCTTCACCCAAACATTTCCTTCTGATCAGCAACACCCAACAAACTGTCTGCAAAAAACCCTACCATAAAGCTAGTGGCTGCAGGGAATTAAAAACAGAGGTTGAAAGGGAGGTGGAAGTGGGGCAGGGGAAACACATAATATTACCCACAGTGCACTGTGTGCTCAGTACTCTTGCCCACGCATGAGAAAAACCCAAGGACCACTATCCCAGGTCCTTTATGGCCTATGGCTCCAGAGTCTGTTTCTCTCATGCCGCATTTATGCATTTGATTTCTCCTTCCTAAATCTAAAACTTCCCACTCAATTTTACTGACTTTTGTTCTGTTAATTTCAGACCTTCTTTCCAATTTATCCAGATCATTTCAAATTCTGATCTTGTCCTCCAGTGTGTTTGCCAATGACCCCCATTGCTTGGAGGCATCTGCACATGGTATAACTATACTCAATCTGTATATTTTTAGGGAAAGGGTTGAAAAGAACTGAACTGATGGGCAGACTCTTACAGGACCTTTTTTTGAGATGCCCACCCAGGCCAAAGACCGTTTGGGGTTTTTTGAGTGTGTTTTTTCAACCAGCTATGCATCCAGTTTGTGTGTCTAGACTTCCTTCGCTTGCTTGAGAACATTATGTAGGGGTGTCAAGATCCTTGCTAGGTACATCATATGCACTCCTTCCCCTCTTCCACTAAACTAATGACTTTGTTAAAGAGGACGTGAGATGGGGGTGGACAACTAGCCTTAACAAACCCATGTTGGCTACTTTTCTATCATCTAATTAGCCTGTGGGTACTGACCAGCTGAATATTTTTTCCCAGAATCTTTCCAGAAATCAAGGACCAAATAGCCTTAAATTCTGAGTCTATCTTTTCTCCCTTTAAAAAGATAGGCACAAAGGTTGGCCTTCTCTGGTCCTCAGTCTTCCATGAATTCTTCAAGATAATGACTATATTCAAGAACCTGTCAAGAATGAATTTCAGCAGGTTCAGTCAACCTCAAACCATTTATCCTATTCAAACATTCTTTAAACCACGGTTGCCCAAATGGGAACCTATGAGCCAAACATGGCCCACAAGGGTTAATCTGAAACTCCCAGGCTCCCACCCAGCCACTGCTCCTCCTATGACTCCAGCTGCCATATGTGGATCCCCTGGGCTTCTCCATCTGCCACTTCCTGTGCCTGCACCAGAGGGTGGTGCGACATGGCAGACAACAACACAGCAGTAGGGGGGGGCTGCCCACACACGTTATAGCAGGGGGTTTGGCTGCCCATGGCTCACGCTATTATGGCCTGTAGTGTGTGACCCCTGCTGGCAAAGCCCCACCCCCACCTAGAAGTTGGACAGACCCTAATTTCACCTGGTCTCTCTCTCTGGTGTGCAGTCCTCTCTCTTTGCTCATGATTGTGCGCACTGACTAACTGGTCACAATTCTTTTTTTTTTTGGTGTGTGTGAAGACTGAACCAATGGTAGCATCAAAGGTTCTTCTTCTTTAGGTAAATCTTTAGTCTTTTCTGCAGCATCTATTATTTGGTCTCCTTTTCTGTTTACAAAGCCTTTGCCTTGATGCCTACTGCATTTGTAGAGCCATGCTTGCACCTCTATTTCTTTACTCAGACTTAATCATGTCTGTTTCCACTGGCTGCGCGACTTCTTCCTGATTTTCAAGTTATTCAGTGCAACCATATCACTATCTTACTACCTTATCTTGCTACTTTTCTTTAGCATCGGGAATTTAAACATACTGCATTTTGTATTCTGAAACGTGACATGTCAAATCTCATATTTGTGAAGTCATCACTGACTCATCAGATTCATAAATACTGACAGCTGAAGTACAGTGCACCCCTCAGGCAAAATTCCCATGAGTGTTGCTACCCAAAGAAGGATTTTGAGATGTGGCTCCAAACCAGGCAACAGGAACAAGGCAGCACTCACCAATAACCACACTGAATTTACAGTAGCTAACGTGCTGTTTTATGCTCCTTACCACACTGGAACTGACAAAACGCACCATACTGAAGGCAGCTGTCCTTGAAGATATAGCCAAAAGCCAGAATAAATTGCTAAACATTTACTGTTTAAAAAAATCCCAGAATGGTTTTAACACCCACCTACTTGAATAATATGCATCTATTGTTAATTAAAACCCAGACACAAAAATAATTAACAGAGATCAGTCACCAATTCCATTTCCTACAAAACCTCCCACATTACCCTCTCAAATGAGATCAGACACCATGATTCAGAGGGGAGAGTTTGGAAATTCACCATTTTAAAAGCTAAATCTCAATTTTACATGGACTGACTGGATTCTTACTCTTCAAGGCAGGCACTACATGCTATTGATGCACAGCCATTACTTACTTCTTGTCATCTCATCATTCTCTTTGCAAATGGTTTGTTTCAGCTGCTCAATCCTCATCTTGCAAGACATTATTTTCCACCTCTGAAAGAGAACATGCCGTGCATCATAAATTGACTTGAATACAAACTTTACAATTAACACCAATGCCTACAGCTACAGCGCAAAAAGTACCAGCAGTATTTTTAACTGAGTCACACCCTAAGAATTTCAAATGGGTTCTTGTGCAAATAGAAGGAAAAAAAAAAAGTTATAAACAACCAGGAGCTTCCTGCAGCAAAGTCAGACAATGCAAAGGGCTTCTGACTAAAAACATTACCAAGAGTGGCAAATAGTGCTGGCTTGGGACAATCTGCACTTGCAGAACCAATTCAGTTTTGCTTGGATTATACTTTCAGCCACACAGTACTGTCCTCCCTACAAATTAATCTGAGAGATCAAGGAATCTTAAGAGCTGGAAAACTAGTGAAGACTTCAAACAACTCACCAGCTGATCAGTAACCTCCTTCCCCGCCATGGCCTTCAAAACACTGCAAGGGGGGAAAAAAAAACCACAACAGAAGATTAACCAACAATCAGGACAACCCCAAACCAAATAAGGTATAAGAAAAAAAAATGCTCCTTTTTTTCCCCCTTAAAGAATGAAAACACCAGCAAAATTAAAATGATAAACTTACTGTTTTTGGAATTCCCTCTGTTTGTTTTTAAGATGCATTAACCTCTCTCTCTTGTCTGAAAACCTGGAAGAGATTAGATCAATTGATTATTTATATTCCACACTTTACACAGTGGGGTGAAGTGACATCTTGCCATCACTCTGGAGGCAAGAGTCCCAAGTCCAGTTCTAGTCTTGAACCAAAAGATGCCCCAAATCAACCTGCTGTAGATGGGTCCCTGGTCATTTAGGCTGGAGAACAAAGGAGAGAGGGCTAGCATCATGTCTCGTGTGCCGTCAGATACAGAAACTACTGTGCCTTAACCATGCTACCTAAAACCACCACTAGGCTCAAGCATAGGTGACTGATGCCGCCCGAGTTGGGAGGGCACTTGTTCCTCCAGCAGCCAATCGACCACTGCTTGGGGGGGCAGGAGGGGGCAGTCCCCTGGGACCAGTTGCACATGCCAACCCAGAAGCAACGTTCCCTCTAAGCTGGCTCTAAGAGGGAACACTACCTGGAAGGGCCAGCGACACTTCTCCTGGCACCCCCACTCCCCAGCCACCGCTCTCGGGGGGCAAGGGGCACCAGCGCACCGACCTGCCACCCATACCCGCCACTGAAGTGGGGGATGCTGGCTTTGAGGGGGTGCACCAGCACACTCAGAGGGTGCATGTGTACCCCCTACATGTTGCCACTGGGCTCAAGAAAACCTTTGTATCACCTCATTATATAAAGTCAAAGCATCAGAAATATTATTAAGAATCCTGAAGCTTAGCACCATCTAAGGCCCTTCCTTTTTTCTTAGCCTTTGGTTAAGTTATGGTTAAATTCACATAAATCCTTACAGGATTCAAAGATATCTTTCCCACCATAATATCAAGAGGACCCCTTTGTTGCAGAAATATCTGCTAGTTTTACCATCAAAAGGTATCTCTGTTATCCTTAAAAAATTTGCAGCTGAGCAATAAAAATTATATTACAGATTTAAAGGAAAACTCATACATTTCAAAATTATTGGCCATTTAAGATCTAAAGAGAACCCCAAAAGTATACTGATTTTCAATGTTTTGAATTTAAAAGCACCTTTTCACAAGTCTTCAGTTTATTAAAGGAATCCATCCTGATATTAAAAAGGCTATATATTAAATGCAGATTTTCACACATTATACCTTACAAAAGTTAGAAGGGGGAAAATGTTTCACAGACAATACTAATATTTTAATGGGCATTGTTTGACATACCACTGTTTGACATACCACCAAGTAGTAGCTCCAAGGACAGCAGCATCATGTCAAGGAGTTTATCATAACTAGATTTTACTTCTGAAGCCCTTGATCCAACTCTTACTTACTTTAGAACAATGTTTTTCTGTCCACTCCTCAGCTCTAGCAGACATTTGCACCCATCACAAAGCCGCCATACCCCTGTCAACCCAAGCTCCTCCAAAGCCTAAGGTTTAACGTTTGTGAACTTCTGAGAATTACTTGGAAGACAGTCATCATATAATTTCAGCCCTCAAGCACATGCTTGTGTCTCCATTCAGCTTCACCTGTCGGGTGTAGAAAAAACACACACAGAGTGTAGTCTATGAAAAACTTAGGTAGGCAAACAATAGTCCCTTCCGACCCTGCCAACTCTGAAACCTGAGCAGATCATCAAGTCTGACCCCCTGCCATGGCAGAAAAGAGTACTGGGGTCAAACGACCCCGGCAAGGTGTTCATCTAGCCTCCTTTTGAAGACCCCCACGGTAGGAGCGAGCACCACTTCCCTTGGAAGTTGGTTCCAGATCCTAGCCGCCCTGACTGTGAAGTAGCGCCTCCTGATATCTAGCCTGAATCTACCATCTGTAAACTTATGGCCGTTATTCCTTGTTACTCCCAGTAGTACTCAGGGGAACAGGGACTCTCCCACTGCCTGCTGGTCTCCCTTGGCCAGTTTATAGATGGCCACCAGATCCCCCCTCAGCCTTCTCTTGTGGAGGCTGAACAGGTCCAGGTCCCTTAGCCTCTCCTCGTAGGGCCTGCCCTGCT